TCATAGCATCCGGCGAGGCACTGCAGGTGAGTGACCATCAGGATCATCATGAACCTGATCAAATGATGCAGAGAGTTATCCCAAGTCATTCTCGCGAGCCTAAGACAATTCCAAAATACTAGTAGCAGCTGACCTCAAGAGGGTCGGCCGAGTCTAAAACCCCGTTGTCTACGTTCACAAATAACCTTCTAACCTATGAATATCTCCCCTGTTTTTATACCAACGCACAAGGTCTTTTAAGCAAACTGACGGAGCTTCGCCTGCGTCAGGCCTCGATGTCAAGCGACCTCGTTATGATAACGGAGACCTGGTTGAATGAAGCGATCACTGATGCAGGAATAGCACTACCTGGGATGTCTATTCTACGCAACGATCGACCAAGCAGAGGAGGTGGAGTAGTACTTTATTATTGCAGCGAACTACACATTGATCTCATCGATGACCCAGAGGTTCAGACTGTCGATGCGCTTTGGTGTCGTCTTCAACTTAGCCGTGGGGACGAATGTTTGTTGGGTGTAGTGTATCACCCACCGTCGGCTACTTTGGAAATGGATAACCGCCTAGCCTCCACAATGAAGACCATTCTCTCGCAGTCGTACAGCCACATTCTCCTGGTTGGTGACTTCAATATTCATACCATAGAAACCCCAGTCTGTATCAACGAACACTTCAAAATGGAAGTACAGGAGATAATCAGTGGGCTACCACTCTACAATCACATCACATCTCCCACAAGATTCAGGACAGGAAACAAACCGGGTGTCCTGGATCTTGTATTCACCAATGAAGAGCTTATGATCGAAACGGTATCGATAGAGAGTCCTTTAGGCCGTAGCGACCATGCAACCCTCATGTTCAAGTACATCTGTTATGCAGAGTATTCCTCAGAAAACACCTAGGAATGTCAGCTCATTACGGATTACGGCGCTCTACTCAAACTTATAAATGCTACAAACTAGGCATTTCTCGCAGAACGATCCCCCGATGTCGCCCGGTCTGAATTTGCTCACCAATTCAACACGTTAGTAACTAGTGCTTCTAGAAAAAGACCTTCGCGAGCGAAGACAGTAAAATCGTTCATACGCAGCGGGACACGCAAGTGTATCGTCACGAGGAATTTACTCTGGCGAAGATACAAGGAGTCATCGAGTGCCGAAACATGAGAAGCCTACACTATACAAAGGAGTCACTGCGTAAACCTGGTACGCGAAGATAAAATACAGCAGCAACGGAATCTAGCTGAGAAATTTCTTTCAAACCCCAAGCTCCTGTACAGACATGTTAACAAGCTCCGCAAAGTACAGCGAGGAATTCCTGCTTTACACACATTGCGTGGACTTGCACAAAACGCAACCGAGGCGGCCAACGCCTTATGTCAACAACTCACCCCGAACTTCCAGAGCACGACATCGCCGCATACACTGTTCCCAATCGTTGTACCACCACCAGGACTTAGCCACATCACGTTTATGACTGCGGGTGTTATGAAAAGGCTAATTGCCCTGCGCGAGCATACCTCTCCCGGTGTTGATAATATTCATGCAAAAGCGTTGAAATTGGCTGCAGTAAACCTGGCGGACCCCCTCTGCAAGTTCTTCCAACGATGCCTCGATGAGATGCGCGTGCCAACAATGTGGAAGCAAGGCATCGTCACTCCCATCCATAAGGGGGGAAGTCGTACAGATCCGGCCAACTATCGCCTGGTAACACTACTCCCGGTGCTCTCCAAAATCATGGAAGCGATTGTTGCCGAAGCGCTGATGAACTTCTTGGAATAACGCAATATCATAGCACAAGAACAATATGGGTTTCGCAAGAACCGATCTTTCACTTCAAACTTGCTGCTTGCCAGATCCAGTTAGATTGAGACCGTTGACAGCGGCGTAGGTGTTGATGCAGTATATCTGGACTTCTCAAAGGCTTTCGACCGTCTGAACCACCGTATCCTCCTTCACAAGCTGCAGTGTTGTGGAATTGGTGACCCAATCCTCGGTTGGATAGCTAACTTCTTGCTTCAACGACATCTGAATGTAAGAGTTCGCGGCGTCATCTCTGACCCAACCGACGTTAAGTGCGGAGTGCCCCAGGGCTCAGTACTTGGTCCACGACTATTCCTGATTTACATAAACGATCTCACGACAGTAATCAACTCCAACTGCTTACTCTTCGCTGATGATATGGCGAGCCATTAGAACAACCAGCAACAATGCAGCACTTCAGGATGATCTGGACAGGGTCTACGAATGGTCGACTCAGAACCTGCTTCAGTTCAACGTTACAAAGTGCAAGGTGTTGAGCATACGCCATAAAGCCACTTGCGAATACAGACTGGGGGATAAAATATTGCAGCGCACTATAACGGAATGCGATCTAGGTGTGGTAGTGCAGGAAGATCTGGGCTGTTCCCGTCAGGCCGAGAAAGCCTCCAAAAAAGCTAACCAAAACCTTGGCCTTTTGCAGAGGGCATTCGGGCGCTTCGATCCTTCCATCTTTTCTCAGATGCTCAACGCCTACATTCGGCCTCATCCTGATTACGTCATCTATGCTTGGCAGCCATGGGAAAAGCAAGAACTTACCGCTCTTGAACTGACACAACGAAGGACGACCAAGAACGTAAAGGTCCTGTTTCATCTCCCTTACCGATTGAGGCTGAAAACCCTCGGGGTCTACAGTGGACAATATCGACGCCTGCGTGGCGACTTGATAATGACTTATATGATCCTGAGGAATCCAAACCATTGTTGTCGTCACCTACTAAAGCTGAATAGCAACACAACACTCAGAGGACATCAGCTAAAGCTGGCCACACAATACAGCCGGTTGGAATGCCGTCGGAATTTCTTTTCCCTTCATGTATGCGAACACTGGAACGTTCTTCCCACATACATTGTTTCTTCCCCCACGCTATCGGTATTCAAAAGACGTCTGGATGATACGCTTATCCACCTACATTACGCTATATAATCAGAGATGTCCACGTCAAACAAACGCGAAAAAAAACGGTGCTCATTCTCAGCTTTTGTGCTTCACTATTTACATACTGCTGTTGTGGAATATCGTTTCGGATATATTACAACTGCATTCAACAATTTACCCCAGTCCGAGAAAGCGGCGCACGAGTAAGCGTTGTCGTTTCTTTTGTTCTTAAGACATGCCTTACCCATATTACTTCCCATATTACTCTACAGTAACAATTCAGTACACATTCTATAACGTTTTTATGAATAAGGGGTACTTGAATTCACTAGACGCTTAAACTGACGATTCACACTTATGTTCACGTTCACTTCGACCATCCTACGGGACTTGTAAAGCAATTGCTTTTTTACCTTAATATATCACTGTTCAAGCGGCTACCCAGACATTTTTGATAGTGCACTAAAGGAGCTTCTAAGTGGCATTCATCTTGTTCTACATACTCGATGCGAGCAGTGGAAGCTCCAACCCGCCTATACAGAGCCTTTTAGTCAGATGTAAGCTCGGATGTCGTGTAAGAACTCCCCAAAGTTATGGGGTTCCTCAAAGCCTAAAGAGTGAAGGCCATACCGACATATAACCGCTGCGATCCAACTACAGGTAGGCAGTCCGAATCGATGGACAATCTCGTAGGGCGAGCGTCATCGGCAATCCATGGTGAAGTGGTGTCCTCTGTTTCGTGAACGCGTAATTGGAAAAACTTATCGACATTAGTAGTACCATGAGCATCCACTAAAAAATGATCACATAAACACCCCAAAACCCTGTTAAGTTTGTAATAGGTGGTCGCCTTTGGCAATCATATCACCTACAATTACCTCTCCTGACCACACTCATAAGAGAAAGGAGTAACCGAAATAATTAGGCCTTGGTAGAACCGCACAATTTCACCAGTAACCAAGATCAACTGTAAGTAGGTACTGACAAGTTTACACGTCATTGGTTAGGGACTACACAACTTGCAGTGAGTGGTGGTAAACTACGAATAATGAATTGAGGGCTCGTCGTAGTCAGTTCAAAATCAGATAGTCGTCCACATGCCCGGAAAAGCATTAGACTGCAGTTTCAATCTGCTGTGTATCACCAGTAGTGCGCATCCATGGGGTCCTTCAGGATTCGAACCGATGACCAATGGCGGTTTGCACCTCCAGTCACGGGGGACAGTGTTGGACTGTTATGATTTACAAGCCGACTGCGACGAGTCCACCATTAATCAGATCAAAAATCCCCTACGCGTAAGTATATCACAATACATCCGCCTTGACGGTTTCTAAATGCTATGTCGTACATAGCTACTGTTAGTGGAGGACGTCGTGTCTTTCGGGACCAACCTTGTCCTGTGCAACGTTCGTAGCTTGCATGGCAGTGGAGGATAAGGCGCACTATATCGCAGTTGGCTTGTAAATCATGACGGTCCGACGCTGTCTCCAGTGGTCCAGTGGCATAAGCAGCTGACTGGCGGTGCAAGCCACTGGTGGTTATGGGTTCAAATCCTGAAGGATCCGATGAATGAAAAGAAAGTTCTTTTCAGCGCGAAAACAGACACGCTTGTAGGGACCTGGCACCACGATGGTCATAAACCGTTGCTTAGTTCACTTGAATGTGTAAAAGAAATCGCAACAATCAGCCAACGCACCGCACCAGTGCTCCGATGGGTCGAAATCATGTGGTGTGGACAGAAAGGCGAAAATGTTTAAATTAGTATGCACCGAACACAAAATGTTACGTGGCAAAGAAATCTCCGAACAACAGTCTCCGAAAAATTTGACATTAGTTAACTGGATGTTTCACCAGTTATAACGGAGACGAAAAGGGTTAAAAGTAAGGCACGTATTCGACGTAAGCATGATATAGTGTGACGAGTACAGTGATTCAATCATCAACGCCATCAATACATGTTAGCTGAGAATGAGACATACAAATAAGCTAATGGGCCGCAATACAAAAAATACTAGACATTACAGAATACGAAAGCTAAAAGAAAATTGCAGAAATATTGCAACAATAGGGGCAACGTTACTCACCCTGACCGGTTCTCAGGCGAGCTAGCCTTTCAAATTGCAACGAGCCAGTTCTCAACGAATCCAACATATATTTCGAATTTTTCTCGCATAGCTGATGAATGGAAAGAACGTAGCGGTGTACATAGGGTGCTTTCGAACCACGGTACTGGTAGGTGCTCAAAAGTAAACGTAAACAGTGAAACTGAAAACTAAGCACACGCCTTAATGACAGATGAAAAGGTGTTAGCCGCCGAAAAGTTGCCACTATGCAGTGCGAAATCAATGTAAACATTGGACGCGTTCATGATGGGATTGGGAGTTGTCAAGTAAATAGCGAAACGTAGCACAGTGAACGGTTGCAGTCCACGAGACCAGTTGTAAAACGCCCCGAAATGTTTCACATTGCATATTAGGAATACTGATGGAATGAGAATAGTATGAAAAGTTGATTGGAATTTTCTGGCGAATTGAGTCTGCGACACCACGCAGTTGAATGCGCTGAACGGATGTTCAGTTGCGTTGAAGTACTGAATTATGGAACAGTTAATGAAATCTATCACTATGATGCGGAAGACATTTAATTCGTGGCTATAACTAAGACATCGCCTTTGAGCTTGTGCATAAAAAGGAGTTCAGAGATGGACGGACCAAAACTCCTCCGTGAAAATGCATCCGTTTGTAGGAGGAACCAATCAGCAGCGAGTGTGCGGAAACCGGAACGGTGGGTCAGTGAAAAACGGATAACAATACTGCGAGTAGCCGATAGAAATCGAGATAGATTTAGAGTCTGTATGCAGATAACAGCTACAACACCCTCAGCAAAAATCATGAAGATGTGGAACAACAATCGGTGATGTCACCTGCCTACTCGGACCGCAACGGAACGTACAAGATTGGAGTTCAGCATACATAGTACAGTGGAAGGAAGCATGTGTGACTAGTGTCAAATTGAGGCAGTTCCACTCTCGTCCACATTGGTCATTCATGGCACCTCCAGATGGGAGACGAAGTACAGAACACCATTAGATGAGAAATCAACAGGATGATATAACCGGAAATAACGATAATAAGCACTTAAGGCAAAGTTTGGCTCATAAAGTATGCTTATTTAAACAACAAAACAGTAACTAGTTCGAGCTGGATACACAAGCTGATATTGCGAAGAGTCGATCTCAATGGTGCTTGTGTTGTCCATCGCCTCCCCCTCCAACAACGATCTCAAACCCAATGCATAATATAATATGTTGTATTATATTGCTTTTTTAAGCCTTCGTAGTCTGTAATGTTTAATCTATTATCCTTTTTGTGTTGCGGTACATTAGCTGAGGTGTGTTTCTCACCTACGGCTAACGTGTATAGATAATGACGAACTGGTTCCAGTACTTACACAAGCAGCTTGGCAACTGAGTGCGTACCGGACCCCCAAACATCGATCATCTGGAGGCGTAGGGATGTTAGATTCGTTGAACCGAGGTGAAACCGGTACGAAACACGTTCCCCCATGGACAGACCATGCAAAAGACCCAGTAATAGCCAACAAACGGCTCACACTTGCTATAATTTTTAGTTTTTTTAGTCGATGCGTACCACTCTAGACAAAGCTGAGGGGAAACAAATTATAATGGCTTTGGCCCCAAATCCATCTCTTACCCATGCACGCACCAGTGTAGCTGCGCACTTCACAAACGTATTTGTTACTTAATGTAGCTGAGAATAATTTGTAAGAAGTACATAGAAGCAACAGCCACTGTATCAACAACTCATTGTGTAATCTGTGTCCCGATCGGCAATAACTAGTACATCTATGGGACCACAAAAAGATAGACGGACAATTTGACGGTATTCTGATGGAACGGGACACCTTTCGTCATGTCATTGATAGAAGAGGGAGATAATTGCGGTATTTGATGCCACTTTGGTGAGGATCTTTGGGCAACATCTTGGGTGGTGTTTACAGCGGGGTACTACTCAAATGCAACGAGTGAACAGCTACTTCAGTCACGAAGAGATGTCCTTATTCGAATAGAGAATTCATTACGTGTGAGAAGGGAATACAGATCGACCAATAGGAAACGAGGATGTCACATTGGGCATTGTGGGATGATGCGCAGTCCATTGATAATGGTCACAAAACTCTCCAACTATATCAAACAACTAGCGTGATATGGCCGAAAGAAGCGCATGACACAACTGTGACTCAGTACCGTGTCTCCGTGTGCGGACCGCGCTGCTGTCGCCCTCAGATGACGCATATCAGTACGTGTATAGTAATAAAACGCGTACATAAGTAAATTGCGTTTAGCTCTAAGTGAACATGCGTATTCATTGCTATTACAACAAAAGGGAACTAGAAAAAATAAGTATCCCCTAGGTTTCCCTGTGGCACTAACAACTGTCACGAACCGGGACCGAGAAACTAACCGCCGCTGACAGATTGACTGCAGTAGCCAAAGAGGGTTGGGGGCTATGCTGAGGACAAGGTCGGGGTGATGGGAGACAGAATGGGAAAACTCGCTGAAAACATACTTTCAATATTGGTTAAAAAGAAAACTGGGAGACTGGTACCAAAACATGACTTAGACAGAACTGTAAGGTAGGCCACCTATCACGGACACTACGAATGAAGTGCTCAGAGAGGTTTACTGCTTATGCGTCATATAGGAGGTAATCATCGACAATGGTGAACGAGCGGACGACAGGAAGTGCTAAAGAAGGAATGAAGATTGCCGAGATAACAAAAAGGCAAATAACAACAGGCTCCGATGATTAGTCTGATACTGTCTAGCTCTGGTGGACATAGTTTGTGGGGAACAAGTAGACTGAATTTTCGCAGTAGCAAACCAACTTGGTGGGTTTCAACAGACGTTCTAGAAACCAAGTGGAGACGAGAATTTTGAGAAAGCCGTAGACACATTCACATCGCTGGCAACCAACAAGAAATGTTCAGAGCCGAAAAAATCAAAAGGTCTGGGGGTATAATGTTTTGCGCTCTGATCAGAAGTGACCCGATCAGCATCAGTCACTTCAAACCTTGGTGAAACGGTATCCATTAAAATGACCGGTTCTGGGAGTTAATCTTCATCAAAATAATAACTTAGATTAGTGTGTGCGTCAATTCAGATAGATACTCCATCTGGCTACCTGAAGCAACTTGAGTAGCTCCAAAGTGCGTTACCTTGAAAAACCGCTTACAAACTCAGTGGAAGGTACTTAAATGGAGCTGAAGGTGAACCAGTAAGTAAATAGCGACGAAAAAGTGCTACATTTCGGATTTCATCAAACCACTGGACTGAAAGAGTCACGCGTTTCGAGATAACTCTTGTGTTCCTTATATACGAGTTACTGCAACAGAAGCAGTTTGGTCGCATGAAGTGTCGTTAAGAAGAGGAAACTGCTTAAACAAAAGTGTATTACCAACCGCATCGATCCTGGCCACCGAATAACTTGGGAAGCAAATGCAGTAATCGTAGAGTTTTGCTAATCCTGAACAACCTCAATTCGTGACGGTTACTGTTAGACAAAACAAACTTCTGATGGCGGCACTGAATGACCGGCCCCTAAGTATGTCCGGTACAACTAGGCAAAAACTATATGGGACGCAGTGGAGTCGTTTACACTGATGAACAAGGAGCCGACCTAGGTACCCCGCGCACTAATCAGTACCCTGGTCGCCCAGAGTACACCTTAAGCCACAAAGTCGGAATCGTAAGGCGAAGATATGGACTAAATACCGGAAAACGTGGATGTATGAGAGCCTCTGAAATGTAGTTTAAGGAGTACGCCGTGCAGGCTGCAAGAAACTTCCTCATACAGTGCGTTACGGACCATGTCTTAGACCCCTTTCCTCAGGTTGTGAGTGGCCAAGTCATGGCACTTCAAGCAACTGCAGGCAGCGAGCATAAGTAATTAGAAGACCGTCGAGGAGTTGGCAAAAAGCGGACCAGTAGGTACGACAATCAGTACGGCACGACAGGAACGAAGAGGACAGAGGCGATAAACAATGAATGACTAAGAGTGATAAATAAAACGAGCAGTTCTGTGAAGCTGTGTAAGAAACCAGTATGTAATTGAATGCTGAGGTTACCCCGATGGTAGAATCCAAACAGTTAGTTTAAAACTTCTATACAGGAAGTGAGTGATGAATACAATGAAGCACTAAGCTGTACGAGTCGCTGTCTTATAGGCCGAGCACCAGAAATAAGAAACCTCGGAAGAAACCCCTCTTATGGGAGATCAATAGTGCAACACAAAACTCCTTTTTGGACTTCATCACTCTCCTCCATCGCATGAAAAGCGTCAGTAGTGAGATGGTCCGCCTCATCGACCCGATCACCACTAGTCGCACATGCGATAGAGATACCGCTCGAATTCACGTAGATTCAAACTGGCGAATTGCGAATTACAAAGTGAACGCCTCATTCCTGCATTACAAATCTCTTCTTGTCAGGTTAAGAAATAGGGGATAACCCTGGATTGAAAATAGCCGTGTTCGCTCACGGAGTGCCGGTAAAGGACAGGCATTTCGAAGCTAAGGTGTTGTTCAAAAAGTTTATGAAACAAAGAAACACTAAAAATGAAGCCATTTGGGCGCTTAAGGTTTATTTTGACTTGAATGCATATGATGACCACTAAGGTGGAAACGACTAAGACATTGGGGCAGCTGGGGGAACGACGATAAGATGATCGCAACCAAAAAACCTAATGATATTTGACAGAAAACGTGCCAATTAAGGACGGGTTAATGAACAGGACGGAAGATGCAAAGTATGGCACAAAAGTGATGGACATGAGGAAAGTAATTGAAAAGTAAACGAACCTCGGAAGCTTCGCTACTACGTTGTTTGACGATTTGTGCGTAACGTTCGGCCAGATCATCGTCCACATCGTAAACGCGAGGATCAGGTTCGATGATTTTAACCGTTTTATCGATACCACTGCAAGCAAACACTGAAATGAGAGAAAAGCCAGTGTAACGATGAACCTCTTGAAATCAGACAGTGTATTGACCACTAGCTTCCACGACAAGATGGAGTTGGATCCTAACGTAGCATGGAACTCACAAGTCTAAATGACATGCTAAACAGCAGCGAGGAAGAGGATCTGAACACGAGCAAAACTGACCTATCGAGGTGATGACTCACAATAACAGAGTCAGTAGTATTTTCATTTACCCTGGTAATCGAGAAGCTGGGAACTAAAGTAAAGAATGGTTTAGAAAAACTCGATCAAGTCACCATCATCATCAACAGCAGCACATTAGCCATCTGAAGTGATGCTTCACTGTCGTACAACCACGACGACGTACGGAACCAAGAACAATAAGAGGGAGAGAAGCGAGACCTACGGTAAAACCATAATGCCCTATTGGAAAGTGAATTTGAAGTACACGTTGTGTGGATGGATTGCGACGCGCAATCTCAAAGTAGACCGCGATTCCCATTGAAGTGAACCTTGGCCATTCGATCACTAGGACCGTAGCTGATGAAGCGGCAGCAAATTGGGTGTTGCCCGCCTGAAACCACTGCACTCCATGACGCGTTTCGAGGTTATTTCCTCTCATCAGTGGTCCCCAACGTGTTTATCACCATGGACCGGTCAATGTCTGGTAGTTTTACCGTGACCCGCTGATTGTTTATATTTTAGATTCTTTTGTTTTAATAATTTAATTAATTGTATGTAAACATGTCTTAAAAATAAAATACTTTTAAACTAAAAATTAATATAAAGTGGTGGACCATTTTGAATTAAATGTTGTATGATTAGATTGCGACGTACAATCACAATGTGGACCGCGATTCATATTGAAGTGAACCTTGGTCACTGTGATCACTGGGACCGTAGCCGGAACAGATGGAAATTAGGTGTTGCCCACCCGAAAATACTGTGCAGCCACGACGCGTTTCGATATCATTTTATCGCATCAGGTGGTGATAGCAGGTCTCGAACCCGAAACCGTTGGAATAGTAGCCGAAACCTCTACCTCCACCTGATGAGAGAAAATGATATCGAAACGCGTCGTGGTTGTGCAGTGTTTCCGGGAGGGCAACACCTAATTTCCATCTGAGTATGAAGTGATTTAACATGTTAACTCACTAGAACACTAAGTCAATGAGAACCCTGAGCTTGTTTCTCTGCAAGGAGGCTGTTCCATTTGGGGGTAACAGGAGACAAGGAGACCCGAAGTGTGTTGCCTATGTCCAGTTTATTCCGTTGTTTTGTTTTGGTTGTTGTCACTGCATAAAACCTCGCTTCACACCGATGGGATGTCGGAAATGCCAATAGGTATTTAATTGTGGTGGTGGCAATCTGAGAATAATCTGCCATGAATTAAGCCAGAACGTCTGCAGAGTTGCTGTCTCGAACGTAGTTTTAAGGCCGCCGTCATTTGCAATCTTCAACACAGACATGCTAGATTCCCCTGTTTTGTTGGCAAATGCGTCGCGGATCCATTCCTTGCCAGTTCGTGCGTCATTTGTGGTTGGGAAGTAGCGCTCGAAGTATTTTAAAAGCATACAGATGATCGTGCAGCAACTGGAAGGTTGAATGCTCAGGGTCACTCTCGCCTAAAATCCCCGCTAATGTTTAAAAGATGCCCAAAATGCCTCTGTTCATGTGCCGTCCACGCAACTCTAGTTTTCACTTAAATGCAGCTAATTTGTCTGCCAACTTGAAAACAGTTGTCATTTTCCCCTGAAGGGATAGATTGAGTTCATTGAGAAGGCTGAATATGTCACACAGGCAGTTTTGCGAAACATACCTTGTCGCTTAAATGTGCCGCAAGTGGTGACTTCTGTTCTGAGGGAAATCTTTGCAATGGCTCTGGCAATTCAAATACCTGGTTAGCAATTTGCCTCTGGATAACCATCTTATTTCTGTGTACAAGAGAAGACATCTGTGCTCTGCGTTCATCTCCTCACAAAGCTGCTCAAACAGGCGCGAGTTAAGGGTGTGTGCTTTGATGTGGTTAATAACTTCAACGACATCAATCAGTACGCTGTTAAATTCCGGTGACAATTGCCGACTTGCCAGCATTTCCCTGTGAATGATACAATACGTAGAATCACTCTCAGGTGTAACCTCCTTAATCCGAGAAGTTAACCCATTGAGTCCTGAATTAATTTACCTATAGCTCAACATGAACCACAAAAGTTTACTCCACGCACTGTAGAGCAAAGTATAGGAGTCCTGATCCTTACTTAATTTCAGAAGGGTAGCAGGGGAGTTGAATATTATAGGCAGAAATTCGTCACATCTAGACACACGCAGACAGCCGTGAGGGGGCTACCCTGTCCACTGCACGGCTGTAACGTGTAAGTCAGTGGATAGTGAGCGGCGCCATATCACATCTAGTAACTTATTCACGATGGCCGACGCCGTCCCCCGTAGCTCAGTGGTGTCAACCACGGACTGGCAACAGTCGAGTTGCGGGTTCGAGTCCTACCAGGGTCCCATGGAATGCGCATTGCTGACGCTTTCCGAAAGGATGAAACGCGTGTACAGTGCTTTTCCGGAGGTGTGACAGCTGTCTGAGTGAGCCTAGGTGTGACGAATTGCTACCTATACCTTACTTAATTGTTGATAGAAGTCTATTATACGTATACTCGCGAGAACCGGCAAGAATGACGTTTGCTCTGAAGCTGTATTGAAACTTAAAGAATGCGTAATTTATAAGTACCACCAGGACACTAATGGTTAAACCAGACAGTCGTATGGTCATGGCAGCAGCTCCGTCTGTGCATATGCCGACACAGAAGGACCATTTTGGTTGTCTTGATATATAACCATCCAGTGACCTGGACAGTTCTGCTCCCGTGGTGTTGGCTGGAAAAGATAATGCACATAACAAATCCTCATGCCCATACTCCTGATAAAGATATCCCACATAAACAAGTAGTATTGTCTTGTTCATTTCTGTAGATTCATCAATCTGGAGTGCGTACCAAGGTAATGTATTAATCCTCTCCAACAATTTCCTCAATTCGCCTAGTCACAATGTTAGCCAACAAAGGCACATGCGCAATCTGTTTAGCAGCAGCCCCTCGTAAAAGTTCAAGGCAAATGTCTTTATTGAAGGGCGAGATCAAATATTCACCCATTGTGAATGGCTTTTTAGCCTTAGCAATACGGTTCCGTCGCAACGAGACTGGACCTTAACGTGGTGCGACGGTTTGCGTACCTCATTGACCCATTGAGCTATACTGGGTGATGACTCGGGGCACCTTGAAAGCTACTCCTACCAGGTTGGTCAATGGGGGGGGGGTCAGACAAACTCAGTCTCCTGGTCCTCAAGGTTGGGGGTTGAAATGTGATGGCATCCATTTCTGTAAAATTAAATCCTTGTCACCTTCCCGATGCATCCCGGACAGGCTTCTGAGACAAAGACTTTGGATGAGGACCCTAATCGTCCTCCTGGCTAGGTCTGGGCGTCCTCGCAGTATCCCAGCCCGCATACAATCATGACATTTTCTTCAAACATAACCTTCATCCTGCATCGGCCGTCGCGCAGATTATCAAGGATCGTCTTATCTGCTGTATACAGCAGGGCGGATAAGCGAATACATGCTACTGCTGGCGCCTCCCTTCTTTCTTTTCCACTATTTCGCTTACTACCATCCTGACCCCCATTACTAACCTTCCTTCCATACTTCCCAGCTTCACTGACAACAACCGAAGTGCCAGTGGAGTAGAATCATCTGCAGCCACCTTCTCGCGACACGCACCGGATGGCCATCAGCAACAGTCACTTATAAGTCTACACTATCCCGTTTCAATGGCGACGTTCAACGTTCGCACTCTAAGATAAATAGGTCAGCAGGCTGCACTCGCACGCACCTTGGACACACTGGGTGTTGATGTGTGTTGTGTTCGAAACTAGGGTCAATGACCCTAATGGGGCTGTTGTTATTGGTTATTGGTTGCACGCATCCGGAGACCCCGATGCAGCACTCACGAGTCAAGCTGGTGTAGATATCATTCTAAGCTTCAAGGCTGAGTCATCGTTGCTTGATTGGATTCCAGTGAACAGCCGTCTATGTGCGGCCCCTTTGACGACATCAGCTAAGGTTGATTCACGAAGTAGTATAAAACGTTGTTTGTTTGTGATTTCCGCTTATGTTCCCACCGACTGCAGTTCGAATGCTGTCAAGGACACATTCTATCACGAACTGAACGCGCTACTACGCAGTGTTATTAGTTCAGAAATTATAGTACTTGCAGGGGGTACGAACGCAGAAGTAGCGCCTATGAGCTCTTCAGAAGCTCAGCTGGGTGGTAATTATCGGCTTAACTCCGAACGGAGTGACAAAGGCGAGCGTCTGCTACAAGTGTGTGCGGAGCACCAGTTGTTTCTTAGTAGCACTGCTTTTAGACACAGTGGGCTCCGAGGTGCCACTTGGCATCCTCCTGTAGTTGGCCAGCAATGGACCCAAATTGACCACATAGCCATAAGTTACAGGTGGCATGGTTCCATCCTGGATTGCCGCTCGTATTGGAGTATCTGCGTCGACTCTGATCATGCTCTGGTACGCTGCCGTTTTTCCAAGAGCTTTACTTGTAGGTGTACCAAGCGTCCCCTCCGATTGGCAATTGAGAAACTGTCTCAGCCCTCGAACAAGCAAACCTACCAAGACGCATTGCGTACCGAACTTCCGCTGTCTTGTTCTAATGACACTGAGCTTCAGTGGAATAAAATCGCAACCGTCATGCATGACGCAGCAGCATCTGCTTGTGGCACTATCAATCGTCACCGCATCAGGCACCGGATATCCGAGAGGTTTGTGAACCTGTTGGGATCTAGAAGAAATCTCCCGGCTGGCTCTGAGCACAATGTGATCAGACGGGCTATTAGGCGCGAACTAAAGCGGAGTTTACGTGCTGACAAGGAAGCCTGGTGGACCAGTAGGGTTCAAGAAATGGAGGAAGCAAGAGCAGTAGGCAATTATCGCAAG